TATCTCATTCGATCTGGGAGGTGATTGATAGTATCCTCATGTTACAGAAGAAGAAACTGATGCTTAGAGGAGGTTAAATGTTTGTAAGGTCACAGGGCTCACATGGCTCTTGCAGTAATTTGTTTTCGTCTTTTGGGAAGAGACCTTTGACCGTAGTGCTGGGGATCTGAACCATATCAGCCAGTCACAACACCCTGACCCTCTGGAAACAGGGTTTAGACATGGCTGAGTCCATGAACTAGGCACAGCCAATCAGGGCTCTTTCCTGGATTGTTGTGTGGGCACTGGGCTTACAAAGGTGGCCGGGTTCCTCTTTAGAAGAGAAGCTCTGCTACCGTGAGAGTGAAACCAACATGAAAAGTGAAACAAATAGTGATGAGAGAAGGAAGAATGAATGCATGGATGTATGGAAGGATGGCTGGAAGGATGGACAGACAGGAGGATGGTTGGTGTTGAGTTCTCTGTTGTAGCCCCCAATGCTGTGGCTTATTGATCCCATGAATGATCACAATCACCTTACCAGGTATGTCATACCCCATTTTTGCTTCAGTGAACTTGAGTTGAACTTCTGTCTCTGATAGCTGAAAAATCTCGATTAACTAGAACATGGTGGAGTCAAGACTCAAACCCAGAATCCAACGTCTTAACTTCTCTGCTATGATCATCCCTAGCATTGCACATTGATCTCTTAAAACATCTCTTTAAACCACTTCCTCTTGAGCAACACCCTATAATTTTTAAAATCACTGCTCACCTTCCTGAGTCACCTTTCTTTTTCTGAAGTTGCCCTTAGTCCCTTCCTAAGGTTTGGGAAATTCCTCTCGTTTATCAGAACACATCAGTGCACTTCTCTCAAGCTGGGTGTTTCTGGGAAGCTTGTTAATTGCTCTACTTTCTGTTGAGTCCTGTTAGCACCAGTTTCATAAAGCAGCATTGTCCACCCTGGCAGTTCATGCTGGCAAATGGCAGAGCCCAGCTTCAGAACCGAGATGACCTGTCACCAAGGCTGCTGTGCTTGCTGGGACAGCAGCCCCCTCCAGCCTGTGGGAGGTGTGGGGGGCAGGGTCTGCAGACAGGTGCAGGTGGCCGGGCTCCCACTCAGGCATCAGGTCTCAGGAGCCACAAGCCACTGTACATGCTCTCTGTAAGTAGCTGAGGGTCAGAGAGGTGAGAACCCAAACCTGAGGCTCAGCAGTGCTGGGAGATCAAGATTGGTAGCCTGCTTTCAAAAGGATACTGATGGTGGTGGGGATGGCAGAGAGTTGGGGGCACAAGGAGTGTTTGTTCCTGGCCAGGTGCCATGTGGAATGACCCAGGTGAGTGGTATGGATGGCAACACCTGATCAAGAAGCAGGAGGATTATGTACTGGGGTTTCTGGCCACATACCTCTTCCTTTTGAGCTCTGGGAAAAACTCAAAATTGCAGCTATGGAGGAGAGAATGTAATTTGGAACTGTTTAGGAAAAAACTCCAATTTTCCCTCCTGAGTAGGGAAAAACCTAGTTGTTCCCTGCAGTGTGTTTCCCCTTGCACATCTCTTACCATCACAGGGACGCCTCACTTCTGACACTACTTAGCAGAGGCAGCATCAGACTGCACAGGGTCATGTGTCAGATGTGAGTTCAGGTTAACCTCTGGGCTTCTGACACAGGGGCTAGAGCCTGGAGACCCCAAAGATGCCTTCCTCAGGTCTGATTAATTTGCTAGAGGGGCTCACAGGACTCAGGGAAAGACTTATGTATATTAGCCGGTTTATTAAAGGATGTGATAAAGGATACAGATGAACGCCAGAAGAAGATCTACACAAGTGAGGTCTGGGAGGATCCTGGGCACAGGAACTTCTGTCCCCAAGGAGCTGGGGCATGTCACCTTTCTGGTGTGGCTGTATTTCCAACCTGGAAACTTTCCCAACCCCACACTCTTGGGATTTCATAAAGGCTTTCTCACCGAGGCACAATCAATAATTAACTTGGTTTTTTAGTCCCTTTCTCTTCTCTCCGCCAGATAAGGTTGAACATTCCAAACTTCTAATCCTGACTTGGTCTCTCTGGTGACTAACAGCCATCTTGGAGCCCCACCCAGAGTCAACTTAATAGAACAAAGATGCTCTTATCACTTAGGAATTTACAGGGTTTCAGGGGCCCTTGGTATCAGGGGTCAAAGACAAATATTAGAACAAGAGTTACTCCTAGTGCTTTTATCACCTAGGACATGATAAGAGTTTTAACAGCTCTGTGCCAGGAAAGGAATGGATGAGGGCGGAGACTAATTTATATTTTCTATTACTGTTATAGAGGAGTTGAGGCCAAAAAGATTTTAAAATTTCTCTTCTGTTGCTTCCTGAACTGACCTTTCTTCTTTCTCCTGACAACACAGACAGCAGCTGTCCGTCTTCAGCCTGCCCAGTGGAGTGGGTGGGGTCACAGGTGGGCGGGGAGGGTGGGGCTGCCGGGTGGGAAAGATGGAGCCCCAGCCTAGAAGGTGGCAGCATTCACGGCCTTCTTTCTTCTTCAGAGGAGGGAGGGAGGGTGGAGAAAACAGTGCAACGGCTCCTCCCTCTGAAGAGCCCTTCTGAGTGCCTCCCCAAACTGACACTGGCGAGAAGGAAGTTTCTGGTGATAGTGGTCAGAGCTGGGTGTTTAGAATGGTAGCAAGTCAGCTTCTAGGTTTGGGGGTGGGCATGGCGGATTTAGAGCTTTGTCTACAGCTGTGGTATTGACGGATGGAGAGAGGATGCTGGTGGTGAGGGACTAGTACCTCCATCTGCCATTCATCATGCACCTGCTCTGTGTCAGGCACCAGGAATGCCCAGAATGAATGATGCTCAGTGTCTACTTCCCAGGAGCCCAGTCTGGGGAAAGACATATAAATAGTCACAATTAGGGCCTCCCCGGTGGCGCAGCGGTTGAGCGCGGGGTTGCGAAGCTGCCAGCAACCTCTGCAGTGCCAGTTCGATCCCCGGCTGCTCCCCGGCCACCAGAGGAGGGTCCCACATGGCGCACAGGCCTCTCCTGCCGCCCGCTGCTCCCCTCAGCAGTGTACTTCGGTCCTTCTGCCTGCTCTGCTCCCCGCTCTGGCTCTGGTGAATTCTCTCACCCTCCCGCACTTCTGACTTACCCAGTGCTTGTATAAATAAGTAAATAATAAATAAATCTTTAAAAAAAATAGTCACAATTAAACATACATGGTGCTGTATATGGTGGTGGGCAAGGATCTGCAGGAGTTCATGGGAGGAAACCCACCTTTGTCTAACACTTGATCTTGTGTGTGTCTACATGCATGTGTGTATGTGCATGCGTGCGCGCATACATGAGCATGCTGTGGGAGGCTGGGAGGAAGATTCAGGGATGCTGCACAGAGATGGTCTTTGAGCTGAATTTAAATGGTGATTAGGAGATTGACAGGCAGACAAACTGAGGCAGGACTTTTCAAGAGAATGAATGGCATAGGCAAGGGCTCAGAGGCACACAGGGGGGGACATGCTTAGATTTGAATTTTGAGATCCCTTTGGTGGCAGAATGAGAAGGAGTGAGAGTGTGGGGGGCAAGGTTAGAGGGAAGAGAAGAGACCAGATGTGTTTGTACAATTTTAGGGACAAGGTGATAGGGTGGGGTCTCAGGCCCAGTGGACGGAGCCAGGCAGTCTTTCGAAGGCAGAAAGGATAGATTGACTTTCTGGGCAGCTGGAGGGCAGTGAGGGGAAGCCAGAGTGTGGAGGGCGGCTGAATTTCTGGTTTGGCTCATTGGCTGGATGGTGATGTTATTTGTGGCATAGAGGAGGTGGGAGATCTGAGCAAGTTTCAGATAGGCTTGTTTTAAATCCAGGCCAGAGTGCATCTGAAGACAAAAGGACAGGAATTCACTGAAGATGCCAGATCAGAGCAGGAGAAGGTGGGTTTCGGGGCATGGGGTGAAGTCCAGAAATGACACCAAGGGCTGGGCGTGGGTATGGGGAGAGGATGGGCAGAGACTGATGCTGGTCTGAGTAAGACTCAGAATGTTAGGGCTCTTGGGGATCCTCATGGTTGGTGCTGATAGAATGGGTTTAATACTGTTACCACCTGTGTGCAAGACATGCCACCTCCTCATGCTAATTGTATGAACTTGAGAGCAAACCTCCCTGAGCCTCAGTCTTCTCTTCTGTTAAGTGGGATATGATTGTACCAACTTCCTGAGGTTGTTGCATAAATTAAATGAGATAATACATGGATATCTCCTAGCTCACAGTAGGTGCTCCATAACACCAGTCTGCACCCCTCCAGCAGCAGAAAATGCATGACCCTGCAGGCAGGGCAAATCCAGGAAGACCCAAAATGGGTTCTCTTGTGCTGATCATGCTACACTTGACTAGATTATCTAATGCTGTTTGTTAAGATAAAAGATTTCATAGCATATTTTGGGGGCAGGGGAATAATAAAAGGGATCCTTGCAGGGAACAAGTTAAGGCTCAGAGGTATGGTGCAATTACCCATGGTTGCCAGTGAGTCAGAGGTGACGCCAGGGCTTAAAACTGGGGCCCCAGCAGTGAGGCCATTTCTCTTTCCACTGAACTGCCTGGGGGGAAGGGGTAAGTGGGCAGGGTCTTGCAATGTTCAGCCACTCATTTAGTGACCAAGTTCCCTTCTGCCCCTGGATCTAAGACTGTTAAAATAACCTTTGGGTACCTGGCTTCCATCTCAGAAGTCCACCTGGGCTTCTCAGCAAAGACTGTCCAGGAAACACCTTAGATGTGAGGCACCTTAGATGTGCGAGGGGTGTGGGTGTGGGAAGACTCCTTGGAGATGAATCAGCACTGCCTCCTCCTGTGTGAGTCAAGAGCAGGCCAAGCAGGGCCAAGTGGAAGGTTCAGGAGGGAGGGATGGAACAGGAGGGAGGCACTGGCCTGTAATGACACTTTTCAACCACTAGGGGGCACGCATCAAGCGGGTAAAATCCCACCGCGGATGCTGGGAACCGCAGCGAGCCCAAGAGAGGGCGTGGCAGTAAAGCCAGCACCCAGCTTCTCGAGCTGCGCTTGGGCAGAGGCCCCGCTAGGCATGTGCCCACTGCCTGCCCGTGTTCTGGCTTCTCTGCCTTCCTAGAGAAGTGGAGAATGTAGAGTGGGATCGAACTCTAGGAGTCTTTCTACCCAGTCCCTCCCTTCTGCAAGGAGAAGCTGCTCAAGATCACACAGCAAGTTAGTGGCAAATTAAATGTGATTTTCACAGACTCAGGAATATGGCCCCTTGTTCTGGTTAGGGGCAGACCGGCAGGTAGCGAGCTTAGTAATTAGCGACTCTGGCGCAGGCTCTCTCACTCACACCTCTAATTCCCTTTGTTTCTGCGACTGTCTTGCTCCCCCTCCCCCAACCCCCCCCCCCCTTTCTGTCTGACTGCCTCCTTGTCTCTGCCTCTGCCTGCATCTCTATCTGCTGGGCCCCTGGAACGAGTTTTTTCCTGCTTTTAACCCCCAGGGATTTGTAGCTCTCTGAGGCTGTTTTTCAAACTGTGTGTCAGTTCCACTCTTGGGATCTAGAGAAATTATGATGTGGTTGTAAACTCAGTGATTTTTGGAGGTGAGAAGGCCCTCCTGGTTCCTAAATTCTACCACCCCAGCCCTTAGCACTCAGTAACCACAAGCCCTGCTTGGTACCTAGTGTGGGCAAGATCTTATGCTCAAGCAGAAATGAATGAGGCCCAGCCCCGCACTGAGCTCACCGTTCTGGGTGAGGGCAAGAGAAGAAAAGTGTGCAGGTGATTCAGTCTGGCGTGGAGTGCCCTAAGTACACAAGAACAGGAGAGCTTTGTGTGGGACAGAGCAGGTAGGCCTGGCATCTGGTTGGGCCTGGGAAAGGTTCCTTGAAGTAGGTGGCACTGGGCTGGCCTTTGAAGAGTAAGTGGGATTTCTGCAGGAGGAAAGGTGGTGAGCGACCACTTTCTGAGCAGAGGAGTCAGTATGAGCCCCAGGTCCTGGCCCTACCAGGTGTGTGTCCCCTTATGCTCACGGCACTGTCAACCAGGAAGTCAGGTACATGTGTGGGAGGTTAGAAAGAAGAGGTATCCAGAGTCAGACACCTCACTGCCAGGCTTTGGGGCTACGTCTGTGGGGACACCTGTGGGGTTTTGGAGCAGAGGAGCCTCTGCTAAAGTCCCCTGTTAAATGGAGGCAGTGCTGTGAAAAGCAATGTGTTGCTCCCCATTGGTCCTTTCTGGGGTGGAGGGGGAGTTGTGAAGGATTTTTATTCCAAATTCTACCTGAAATAGGTTTTGATGGCAAGGGGCAGAAACATGAGGGGTTCAAGTGCCTTGGGAGGGTGGGGACCCTGGGTGGCTATGTGAAGCTGTTAAAGAGGATGGATGCTGGGACCCCAAGGTTTAACTTCATCTTCTCCCAGGCCCAGGGTGACCCTCAGGAAGAGAGCCGTCTGGCTTCTGGTCTGATCCTCTGTCAGTTCTCAGCCTAATGCTCCCTGGGGTGGCCCCATGAAACATCTCGTGCTAGTTCTCTCTCTTTGGGGCTGGGTTGGTGTTTCCGCAGCTGCTCTGGTCCTGGGGGAGGAGGGCGGTGCCCGCTGAGTCACTGCCTGGGCATTTGGGCCTGGAACCACTGGTGAGTCACCGAAGACTGGGGTTGGGGGGGGGGGGGCCTGGGAAGGGGAAGCCAACTGCTGTACATCTGGAGGGGGGAGGAGAGCTGAGCAGCTGAAGGGCGGTGCCCATTTGGTCTGGAGACAAAGAGCAGTAGGCAAGAGAGGTGGGGAGGGGAAGCGGGGAACTACTGTCCCCTATGCTGGATCCTAAATGGCCTCAGTGTCTGCTTTCTCTTCTGGTCTTGGGAAGAGCCCGCGGGGCTGGGGTGAGGGAGACTGTAGCTGTGGAGAAGAGGAGGCCTGAGTTTCTGTTTTCCCTTGCAGACCTCCTTGGGGCTTCCTGACGCCACACAGAAAGTTTCTCACCCACTGTGATTGTGAGATTGTAGACATAGCGGTCTCCATCTGCCCCCTATCTCCTCCCTGGCTCTCTTCCTTCCCAAAGGGGGCCTTTCAAGGTATTTTCAAGCACAACCACTTTCCTCATTATGTCATTAAGAAGTATTCTGGTGCCAGCTCTTAAGAGTAACTTGGTTTCCCCTACTCCCTGAGGCCCACCTGCCTGGCTCTCTTCCTCAAGCCCCCCATCTGCCTTCTCTGCCACCCTGCTTTCTAAGGGTGGCCCCAGACTGTTACACACTCATGCACACACACACACAAACACACACAGTGGGGTTTGGCATGTCCTGCAGCCTCTGACACATGAATGAGTTGGGACTTGCAGGCATGTCATGAGAACAAGGCCTGGCATGTGTCCCCAGGCCTCACCAGCTGGGCTGCCTCCCTCAGCTGGGGCAGGCTGCCCCTTCCCCACATTACCACTCCCCCCTTCCCATGACCTGGGTGACCACAGACTGCCCTGATCCGGTCTGGGGCTCTCCTGGAGCTGGTGGCCAAGCTCAGAGGGAGGAGGGGGCCAGGCTGGAGTTGTGCAATGGCTGGCGGCCAGGCTTTGGTGGGATCAGGTTAGGACAGGTTTGGTTTCTTGGAATGCCAGGTTGGGGGCCAGTGGGCCTGGCATATAAACCCCACCCTGGGCACCTGCCACTTTGCTCGGCTTCCTGAGTCTCTGCGCCATCTGGCTTGGTGAGTGCCTCTGTCCTTAGCTGGCTGGTGGGGAACCCTGTGGTCTCTGCCTTTGTGCCTTTGTCTTGATCTCCTAGTTTTCTTTCTGGCTGACCTGGGGCCTCTCTGGGTGTCTTCCATTTGGGCCTTCTGTAAAGTGTTGAGTTGGGGTAGTTCCCAGTTCCTCTGTGAGATCTCACTTTAGGGTTACTGAGGTCTTCGCTAGAGTCCCTCCATCTGGGGTGCCTCTCTGTGGGCTTCAGTCTGGGCATCTTTATGCAGAGGGCCTTCTTGGGGTCTGGATCTAGAAGAATGGAGCACGTAGGTGAATGGAGGTGTTTTAATGAGAATTCTGAACTTGTTTAATTTCAGTTTTAGTTTTTTATAAAGTCTTGAATTCTAACAGAACTAAGGAGCAAGAGCCTGGAATGTGAAGGGTGGGGGCCCTGCCCAGAGTAGTTACATGGACCCCCCTGCAGTTTCCTGACTTCTCCCATCTCCCCTCCCCTTTCCATGGCAGGGCTGGCAGGATGGGCTGAGGTTTCCCTGCCTCGGGCACCAACTCCCCTGGCCTCAACCTCCTGAGCTGGTGTGGACTTTCTCAGAGACAAGGCTCTGGGCAAAGTGGCTCTGTGGTGTGTCCTTGTGTCCCCAGGTTGTGTCCTCATCCTGGGGCACTGGACATTTCATTTCTTTATTCTAATCCCAATAGGATCCTTCCTGAAGGGGAAGGTACTCATTTGCCCCACCACGCCCCATGTCTTATGGTCTCCAGTTTGGAGGGACACATAGTCCCTACCCTGTGAGTGTCCCTAGTCTGAGGGAGGAAACATCGCTGCCAGGGGACTTCCAGTTATATGTGGAAAATGACTTGCACCCTTAGGTTGCAGCCATGACTACCACCAGTGACTAGTGGGCCTCTCCATTTAAGCCACAGAGATGCCATCTTGTGCTTACATAGAGCCCACGGGCCTGGGAGGGAGCTGTACAGAGAGGATTCCCAAATGGGATTCCCACTGCCCTGTCATTTCCCTGCCCACAGACACTCAAAAGGGGGAGCCCTGCCCTTATGGGTGTGCTCCAGGTATGATCAGAGGAGACATGAGGCCGTCTTTGGTGACTTCCATGCATGGGGGAAGGTTTTATATTTTCTGTCAGTGTCTGGTGGAGGGTGGCCCCTGCCCAGGGGGCCACAGCCAGGGGGCGATGCAGCCCCTGCTTCCCATTCAGAGGAGGATTTGGGGCTCCGGGGCTAGTGGGTCCTGCAGGCTGGGCTGAGGTGTCTTTATCAACTGCCGTCTCTGTAGCTCCAAATCCAAGATGTCCAGCCCCCTGGAACAGGCACTGGCTGTGATGGTCACCACCTTCCACAAGTACTCTGGTCAAGAGGGTGACAAGTTCAAGCTGAGCAAAGGGGAGATGAAGGAACTTCTGCACAAGGAGCTACCCAGCTTTGTGGGGGTGAGTGGGGTCAGCCTGGGACAGGGAGGGTCCTGGTCTGTGAACGTGGGGGTGAGGGCTAGGTCTCTTCTCCCCCATTCCGGCGTGCCTGCTGATGCAGATCCAGGGCGGGGTAGAGCCCTTTATGGCCCGAGAAATGTTGCAGTGAGCCCAGCTGTGAAGGCTGTTCCTGGCTGTTTCCTGCAGCTTCCCTGAGAAGGATGTGCTGTGAGGGCCGTCAGAGTCCTGTTCTAACCCCTCATTGGAGAGTCAAGCAAATCAGAGAGGGGAAGTAACTAGTCCAGGATCACACAGCTGTTTCTCACACCCTCATTTTTCATATTTACTTGCCCAACAAAGAAGGTATGTGCAGGAAGAAAAAAGCCAATCAAGATAGGCACCCAGGAACATTTTGCAGAGAAATGTAGTCAACTCTTGCCCTCCCCATACCCTCCTGGATTAATCCCCAAATCAGTTCTTAAGTTTTGAACTTGTCAGGTGTGTCCTTTCCTATAACAAATTCTGGGGTCAGATTTTCTAATTTGGTTTCGTTTTGGCTGTTTTTTGTTTAATTCTTTAAAAAAGGTATTTATTTATGCATGCAAGAGCTGGGGTACAGGCCAGAGATGTGGGGGTAAGAAGATTCACCAGAGACAGAGTGGGGAACAGAACAGGCAGACTGACTGAAAGACACTGCTGAGGGGAGCAGCAGGCGAGACAGGAGAGGTCTGCCACACCACGTGGGTTGCTCCCTGGCCGGCCAGGGATCGAACTCGTGCTGCTGAGGTTGCGGATTGCTTCATAGTGCGGTGCTTAACCCCTTGCGCCACCAGGGAGGCCTTTGGCTGGTATTTAAAAATATTTGCCTTTTCTGAATTCAACTTGCTGCAATAGGGAGTGAGGTGGTGGCCCCCAGAAAGACTTGGTTTCCTTGCCAGCAAAATGGGGGCAGTGAGCCCCACTTTGCTGTGCTCCTATGGGGAACAGAGCAGATTCCCTGCTTCAGGGGGGCCTGGCTCCTCACTCCCAGCAGGGAGAGCTGGATACTCACCAATGAGGGGCTCTCAGTTGCTTCTGGGGCTCCTGCCTACCACTTACTGGTTTCCCAGCACCAGGGGAGAGCTGGGCTGTCCCAGGGGTGTGCTCCGTGTGAGGTGGGGGTACACAGCAGGCTGGTGATGACCCCCCTCTCTCGGTTTCAGGAGAAGGTGGATGAGGAGGGCCTGCAGAAGCTGATGGGCAACCTGGATGAGAACAGTGACCAGCAGGTGGACTTCCAGGAGTATGCTGTCTTTCTGGCTCTGGTCACTGTCATGTGCAACGACTTCTTCGAGGGATATGCAGATCGGGTCTGAAGCAGAGCTCTCAGCCCCTGCCATGAGTTTCAGGCTCAGGAGGACTCTCTTTCCCTTTTAGTTTTGTACTCAATAAACTTTTTAACTTGTTGATAGTAGTTTAATTGCTCAGTTATGCCCCGTAACCTGACTGGTGCAGCTGGGTGCTGGGCTCTGGGGGTCTCCTAGATCCCACCTGGACCCTGACCTCCAGAAATCTTCCCAAGGCCAGAGCTGTGCCTTAGGTCCCAGATTGCAGGATTTCAAATTAGAAATTTGGAAATTGAGATAATTTGCTACAACATACATGTGTATTTGCCAAATAAAGATATTTTAAAAGGCAAATACCATCTGCTGTCACTATTATTTTATTAAAAAAGAAAATACCCACCAGGAAGGAAGGATGTAATCTCCGCAGTAAGGCCTGCCCTTCAATGCCATGAGCAGCCAATCATGCAAGGAGCTGCTCAGCGACTTTGTGCAGGCCGCAGGCCATAGGCAGTGTCCTGTGTGCAAATCTGTATTTCTGGCTTTTTAAATTATTTATTTATTTATTTAAAAGATTATTTATTTATACAAGCACTGGGTACAGTTAGAAGCGTGAGAGGATGAGAGAATTCGCCAGAGCCAGAGCGGGGAGCAGAGCAGGCAGAAGGACCGAAGTACACTGCTGAGGGGAGCAGCGGGTGGCAGGAGAGGTCTGCGCGCCATGTGGGATCCTCGCCCAGTGGCCGGGGATCGAACTGACGCTACAGAGGCTGTGGGAAGCTTTGCAACTCAGCACTCAACCACTGTGCTACCTGGGAGGTCCCATTTCTGGCTTTTTTTAATCAGCAAAGTTTTACTCCAGTGTTGTTTCTGCTCCTAAGTGACTCTGAAATGCAAGAAGCTAACACACTTGTGTAAAGGCAACATGGAGGCAGGCCACTGAGACCATCTCTCAGACAGGAGGCCCTGCTCAAAATCTCCCCCAATGGGAGGGCAGTGGGAGTTTGGGATGAAGAATAAATGAACCTGCGCTTAGCTCTGCCCTCGGGGCGGCCGGGGGTGGGGTGCCTACCTGGTCCATCAGACCATCCAGCTGACAGCCCAGAACTCCTGCCGTGGGAAAGCTTGGATATGTTGTACCTTCATCAGCCCCCTCCTCCCTCTCCAACTAATTGGCTGCAGCTGTGCTAGGCTCCAGTCTCTGGTCTCCAGCAGTCTCCGTCTAGAGGACTTTCTGCTGTTACCCATCATGTGGTATAAAGCCATGGCTATGAACTGCAGAAGGGGTGGCAAATGGGGGTCCTGGTGGTGGCCAGGGGTCCCTGGGAATGGCAACTCTGGACTGCTGGTGCATTTCTGTTATTTCCAGACTATGGTTCACTCTGGAGGGGAGTAGAATGTGGTGCTGGTGGCCTGGGCCAGCAGAGTGTGGAGTTAGGGGTGGGGAGGGCCCAGGCGGGGTCAAAGGATCTGGACAAGAATGGTGAGGGCCAGACAGGAACCTGCCCTGAAGGTGGTGGGCAATGTGGCCCCCCACAACAGAACCAGCTCCCAAAGTGGCCCCGTAGGGAATAGCCCAGTGGGGTGACCACTCAGGGCACCAGGCCTGGGCAGGCTTAGCTGAGCCCAGGGCCACAGTGCAAGATGTTGGGGGAAGATGGTAAAGGAGGGTGACAGACACTGGGGTGTGGACGCTCCTTGGGGTGGCCATCTGGTCCAGGTTGGGCAGGCAGGTGCTGGATCATGGCCGATGGGTGGGCCACACATTAGTACCAGTTTAGCTCATTCAGTGCGGGAAGGTGGCCCTGGTTCATCTCCACAGTCATGATGCCCTGGCTGCAGTCCCAGGCTTCAGGGACTTTGTCCACTGTGTACTAGAGCTTGAAGCATCCCAAATGCTGGTTCCTCAGCTCCTCCAGCTCAGGCCACAGCTGGATGTCTTTCTTGGCCTTGTTGGCAAAGAGCAGGTGGCTCACCTTGTGGTTGTGTGGGTCGTTCATGATGGCGCGGATTCCTTGCAACATTGGGGTGATGCCTGTTCCTCCCATGATCATGCCGTGTTCGTCACTGTCCTGACTTCGGGGGCGGATTTCTCATCTGGATGGATAGCTAACTTTGCTCTCCCCCGTAGCTTAGCAGCCTACTGGGGCCCCAGGACTCAATGGTGTCTCCAGTGTTCATGCTCGCCAGGCACTGGGACATCTTCCCTCCAGCAGGAAACTTGGAATGGTGTCTTTGAAGTAAACCTTGACAACCAGGTCCATGGAGCCCTTGTTGTCATCACTGAAAACAGGCCGAGTGACCAGATTCCCATCTATTCAAGCAGGGAGGTCAAGGTAGAGGCTGAAGGAGAGGCCCAGGATATGTTGGGGTGATGGTGGGGTGAAGCGGACTCCCTGTGTGTTACAGCTGATGATCACCCTGTTGATGAGCCACAGTGGGTACTTGATGTCGGGCTCTCCAGGGTGATGGGGGAGGGGGTGATTCAGGGGCGCTGAAAGGGCTTTATGAGCAGGCTGTACAGGAACCAGACTGGGGAAGGGATCACCTGGCCCAACGTGCTCAATTGGGCCCCCAAATCTGTATTTCTTGTTATATTTGCTTCAGATTGACTTGCTGTAGTTTGGGTTTGTTCTTCTCTTTTGGTTTCTGCTGAAGGCTGTGAGGAACCAGTTCACATCCATGTTTTGATTTTTTTTTCTTTATTTTTTCCTCCAATGATAGCCAATGTTGCCACATATTCTCTACTCTATGGCACATCAGATGACAATTTGACCAAATGCTTTGCCATCTTATACCAAAGGTCCCCAATTTTCCAGTCTGCAAAGGTTAAAAGATTCTGTTTTAGTTACCGAATTCTCTACCAGTTAAGAATGCAATTCAATTGTAAGTTGCAGAACACCTGACCAGAAGTGGTTTTAAAAAATTAATCTTTAAATACCCTACACAATAAGAAGTCTGGGGTATGCAATTCTTGTTTTGCTCAGTGACTAGGGCCAATGAACTAGTTGCTACACAACAATCTGGCCACACTTGGTGAATTAAATTTAACTTATTACTTGCAAGATTCTGAGATCAGGTAATAGTATTCTCACTTGGCATTTCCTATTTGGTTATAGAGGATATTTGGCTACAATTTTTTTTTTTGAGGACTTCCTACTATATTTTGTTTGGGTTCCATTTCCGTGGTCTTTTTTTTTTTTTTTTTTAAAGATTGATTTATTTATGCATACAAGAGCTGGGGTACAGGTAAGATGGGTGGGGGGGGTGAGAGGATTCACCAGAGACAGTGGGAAACAGACTAGGCAGACTAACTGAAATACCCTACTGAGAGGAGTAGCGGGCGAGACAGGAGAGGTCTGCTGCGCCATGTGGGTTGCTCCCTGGCCAGCTGGGGATTGAACTCATGCTGCAGTGGCTGCGATTGCTTCACAGTGTGGTGCTTAACCCCTTGTGTCACCAGGGAGGCCACATTTCCATGGTCTTATGTGTTACTTTTTTTTTTTTTTTAAAGAGGCATGTATTTTTATTTATTTATTTGTTTGTTTGTTTGTTTATTTGTGCATGCACTGGGTACAGTCAGGAGCGCGGGACGGTGAGAGAATTCACCAGAGCCAGAGCGGGGAGCAGAGCAGGCAGAAGGACCGAAGCACACTGTCGAGGGGAGCAGCGGGCAGCAGGAGAGGTCTGCGCGCCATGTGGGACCCTCCTCCGGTGGCCGGGGAGCAGCTGGGGATCGAACCGGCGCTGCAGAGGCCGCGGTCAGCTTCGCAACCCAGCGCTCAACCGCTGCGCCACCGGGGAGGCCCTTATGTGTTACTTTTAATATTTTTTGCTTGAGGTTTTATTAAGATTAGAAAATGATGAACTATTTGCATGATCCATTGGACAGTCTGGTTTCTGCCTGGTTCTAAAGGGACACATTGCTACTTTCCTCCTCCTCTTCCATGTTACATAATTTAGATGTTTTTTGCCTTGATATTCATTGTTCTGTTGCTATATAATGACCTTTCATAGTGGATTTGGTGTTGATAAATTCTTTTAGTTTTTGCTTTTCAGTGAAGTGCTTATTTTACCTTCTATCTTTTTTTTTAAGATTTATTTATTTTTATTTTTTTTTTTTTTAGAGGCATGTTTTCTTTCTTTCTTTCTTTCTTTCTTTCTTTCTTTCTTTGTTTTGTTTATACAAGCACTGGGTACAGTCAGAAGCGCGGGAGGGTGAGAGAATTCACCAGAGCCAGAGCGGGGAGCAGAGCAGGCAGAAGGACCGAAGTACACTGCTGAGGAGAGCAGCGGGCGGCAGGAGAGGTCTGCGCGCCATGTGGGACCCTCCTCCAGTGGCCGGGGAGCAGCCGGGGATCGAACCGGGGCCGCAGAGGCCGCAGGCAGCTTCGCAACCCAGCGCTCAACCGCTGCGCCACCGGGGAGGCCCAAGATTTATTTTTTACTTATACAATAGCTGGGGTACAAGCTAGAGGTGCAGGAGGGTGAGAGGATTCACCAGAGACAGAGTGGGGAGCAGAGCAGGCAGACAGACTGAAAGCACTGCTGAGGGGGGCAGCAGGTGCGATAGGAGAGGTCTGCCGCGCCATGTGGGAATCTCCCTAGCCAGCTGGGAATTGAACCCGTGCTGCAGAGGCTGCGGATAGCTTCACAGTGCTGTACTCAACCCGCTGTGCCACCAGGGAGGCCCTTACCTTCTATTTTGGTGTTAATCTTGTTGGGTAGGTGGCTCTGGGCTGGGAGTCTTTTTCTTTAAGTACCTTCAATATCTCTTTCCAGTCCTTTCATGTTTGTAATGTTTCTGTTGAAAAATCTTTTTTTTTTTAAAAAGATTCATTCATTTATGCATACAAGAACTGGGGTATAGGACAGAGGTGTGAGGGGGTGAGAGGATTCACCAGAGACAGAGTGGGGAACAGAATAGGCAGATCTACTGAAATACACTGCTGAGGGGAGCAGTGGGCGAGTCAGGAGAGGTCTGCTGCGCCATGTGGGTAGCTCCATCTCCTGAGCCATGTGGGTCAGCTTCCTGGCCGGGGATCAAAATCATGCTGCAGTGGCTGTGGGTAGCTTCATAGGTTGTGCCTTAACCTCTTGCGCCACCAGGGAGGCCCTCTGTTGAAAAATCTATCTGCTGATAGTCTGATTGATGTTCCTGTATAGGTTACACTTTTTTTCTTTTGACAGTGTTAGGATTTTGTTTTTTTTTCATTGATTCTCAACAACTATATTACTATGTGTCTTGGTGGCTATGCAGTAGTTTTGTTTTGTTTTGCATAGAACTGGGGTGTAGGCCAGAGGTGTGGGGGATGA